TTAAGGAGAGGGCAGAGCTAAATTTCTGAGCATGCTTTATGACAGCACTTAGCCTATCATTCTGAATAACTTGCATTTATTGTCGATTCTTAGTGTCAGTAGGTCATGGTTAAAACACAGCTACACCTTAAAATACAAGCTCTCTAAATAAAGATAATGAAGACAAAGACAATGACGATAACAGCATTTCTTAGCTTACAATGTAACTTTACTGTACCAAAGCATACATCCAAAGAAAAGGATTTTCACTGGCTGCAGTTTGTGTGATTATTTTCAGTAAAATTGGCTTTATTGACTACACTCAAAAAGCTTCAGGTCACACTGGTGTACAAAATACAGAACCTGATAAGGATAGACGATAAGCGAAAAATACATATTGCCCAGAAAAGACCATTGATTGAAAGCTTCCATAAAATTATTATCAAACACAATTGTTGAGCAAAAACCTAAATCTCACAACAGGCAACACGTTTAAACACAACCCTCCCACCCCTACAAACTGTGCTGTGATTTAAAGCAGCATCCCCGCGCTGCTGCAGTGGTTATGTAACTGTCAAGCCTCTTGCCACAAGCCTCCTGGTGACAGTGTGGTGAAGAAGAAAGTGGGGGAAAAAAAAAAAAAAAACAGCGAGGGGAGGGCAGAGAGCGATGGACGGAAGAGGCACAGTGGAACAGAGGCGAAGGAGTCAGACATATTGTCATGGCTTGTGATGGAGGAATGAACTGAAGTGATGAAGCAGAAACAATAGAAGCCATATTCTGTCCAGCCAAGGAGGGGAAGAGAAAACAGGCAAAGAAACAGTTAATTCTGTTGCTCTCCAAATGTTCTGCCTTTTTATCATTTAGCTGCCTGATGCTGCTTTGAATACTGATTGGCTGCATTATTAGCTGAGCTCCATATGACTGGAAGTGAAAGAGCAAGAGATGGAATTAAAAAGAGAGCAAGAAATGATAGGGATATTTATACTAGAAAGTACTTATAACAAACTGCAGACTTAGGCTTAAAGTCTTACATGAGTGTTTGTGCCATTTTATTAGTGTTAATGAAACAAACATTATCAAGACAACTTGTAATACTGGAATTTTTGGTGGTAAAATAAACTCTTACTCTAAGAAAGGTTTATATTTTTACAACTGCTGACAATAGATGCTCAGTTATGGTGATAAAGGTACAAAACCGCAATGATAATGGAGCACAGCTATTTATTAATTTGAATGCTCATATAATACATTGCCAATCACATCTTAAGCCTGACTATATTAGTATTACATTGGCAATGATACTAATCAGTAACAATTTTTAAGATTTTCCAACTTTTGATCTTAGTATCGAAGATATTAATTTGCTGGGATAGTTATGTAAATGTATGGTACAATGTTGATTGTGCATCCATGCGTGTTTAAATTGAACCGTTTCTATTATGTTATCTTGCTCATTTGTCAGTGAGTAAGATTTTTTCTTTCTTTGAAATGCTTGCTGTAATGATGCTTCTTTCACCTTCTAGACTTCTAACAGACACTAGGCTTTGAGAACCTATTAAATTTTGTTTAGATTGAAGATCAACAGAAAAGGCCAAAAACCTGGTGTAGTTTCAGTAGCCTTGTATACAAACTTTACAAATGAAAGATTTCACGTCTATGCCCACATTTTGTTTATAACTATAGTACAGAGTTATTGGCTGGCAGCAAAAGTCTTCAAAAAACTTACAAATCTTATGATTTCGAAGGTTTAATCCCCGAAGCAGCCAAAAAGATAAATGACAACAAAGACCAATAGGCATAAAAGATTATTACACACAGACAAAACAGAAAGTTTTATATTAATACTCTGCAGGAATGTTCACTGAGGTCACAATTACCTTTGCTTTCTGTGATTATAATCTTTTGATCTCTGTATTGTACAATTATGCCTCGGAGGGTACATAACTAATTGTGACAATAATTGGCATCGTTAATCATCCATTTCTCCTTCAAGACATTTTCATATGCTTACTGCTAACATGATCACTAGATGACACCATCAACAATAAGCAGACACTAAATGTGTTTTGTAAGTTGGCATACTACTTACAAATAAAGTACACAGTACAGAAGATAAAGATTCACATGACTAGCTCTGTAACACGAGCAATGAAAAAAAAAAAGGATACATGCGCTCATGTATTACTTGATGCACCAGCCGGCTGGACATACAGTGCAGTCTAGGACGTGGAAGCAGTTTGAAAGAGGGTAAAGTCAGTCTGTCTTCTTTTTGATTCATCCAAATTTTTATGTTTCAATACCAAATGGAAAGCATTGAAACTGCCAGGATGCTTTAGCCTTGTCTCAAAATTGCAGTCTCAAGAATCTTATGAAAATCGCAACAGTTTGTTTGGGAAGGGTTTTACTAAAGTGTGTTTTTTTTATTGTCCTTGTACTAATATTACCAATGTACAGTACACCCCATGGTGGCACATGAACAATGATGAAAGTAATTTGGTTTCAAACTGTGGGGATGATGAATGACTGTACTAAATCGGACAAGTCCGAATCGCAATGAAATCCAAACAACTGCTCCAAGAAAAGGCAACAAGGACATCTATGTTTAAAAAATTATATTTACAATCTATCAATTGCAATAACAGTTCCTTTAACTGCATGACTTAGAGAACGCGCAACTGTTTAAGAGGGCTTTATGTCACAGGCACAGTTATTGCTGTGGAACAACATACTTCTGCTTTATTGAGTAAGATGGAGGAGGAAGGTGGATGATAAGAAGAAGAAATTTGGAGAAAAAAATCCTATGAAGCCATAAGTAACATGACAACAGAAAAGGAAACATACTCTACAACAAACTGAGTTAGCTTAAGGAAATGTAATAATGTGCATCAAAGATGGAACAGTTGAATGTTTTACACATGTTACAGACAATTTTCCACAGGAAACTAGGTCCCATTTTAATGATGAAAACACTGAAATGGGAATCACATTTTTGTGGAATTGCATATTTTCATTTTGAGCTATGGTAAGCTGCTGTGGTAAGCTGCTGTGGTACAGAGGATGTCTGTTATATATATATATGAAAGAGATTTTAGATGCCTTTGCTCAAAATGATTTTCTCGCAAATCTTGTGGAAAAAAATATGGAGGAAAAAAATGAATGAAATTGAAAGAAAATCTCTTTTTGTAGATTTTAGTAACTTGTCGTGCTTCATGGTGAGGTTTGACCTGAGTACAGATGGGACAGTGATATTGTCATTTTGGTGAAGCTGTAATTTATAGATCAAAGGCCTTACCAAATCTGAGAAGGTGGGAAAAAGCAGCTGAAGTTTAGAGAATTAGTCTCTGATTCCCCAAGCTTCATTGGGGAAGAAGCTTGGCAGAGAAATGAGAGAAGGTGACCAACAAACATGACGGAACTAAACAGGACATAAAAGCAACTTACCAACCAAAGGTTAAGGACAAAGAAATTAAAGTACATAGCAGCAATAACAAACAACCCAAAAATAACCTAAATGCCCAAACAACAGTTTATGCATTTAGAATTTGCTGAGTCCTGAAATAAATTTTATTGATGCAGCAAAAAGTAAAGAAAATGTGTGTAAAATTATTACATTTTCCACACATTTCTTTCACCATTTCCATAAAAAATAGGTAAGGGTCACTGAGAAATTTCCCTATAGTTTATTAAAACTGTCCAAGAAATGCTATCACAGAGTCCACACATAATTCACATTATCTAAAACAAACTTATAATCACATAATAAACATCGGTCTCCCTTATTACTTCATAAACAGTTTTAGAAATGCTTTTGCCACTGGACTCCAAGAGTAAGTAACCTATGAAGGAAAAACAAAACCTGAATGACAATCAGTGATTCCAGTGAAACATGAAACTAAACAAACAGCACTCTTCCCTTTGTTCTCTCCAAATTGATCAGAACCCTGTAATTATAAATCAAAAACTCACTACACTCCTCTGACCCAGCTTTTTTTTTCCTTCCAATCCAAAGTGGAAAGACTCCCTGGAGAAGCCTCTCTGAATGAGGTCACAGTGTCCTGATGAGCCTCCTTATGAATAAAATAATCAGCCTGCATGGACCAAACATCCACTTAATTCTACTGCTATGGTAAAAGTTGTGCTAGAAACAGAGAAAAACAAGAAAATCTGAACAGTAAATGCTCCCATAAGTGAGAAAATAAAGTAAAAAACAAACTGGATGATTTCTTCTTCTCTTCCTCTATATATGCTCTCTGTGCCAGTCTCCACTGCTCGAGAAAAAGCATGGCAAAGCTAGTTAAATATTTTGCTACACAACATTAAGTCAAATAAGTATTAGGAGAATATCTTCTGCTCTGATTAAATTGAAACTGAACTCTGTGAATGTCATTGCATTTTTGTAGATGAATTGATTAAAATCCTTCAGAACAGGAAGTCCATAAGACATCTTGAAATTGTCATAAAAAAGAAAAAGAAAAGAAATGCTGAATACATTTTAGCAATACCTTTTCCATATTATCCCCTATTATTATATTAAATGTATTGGATGTGAAGATTATTTGCTTTGTTATTGAGCTCTAGTGTGAATTTTATGCCAACAGGACAATCAATTATGTATTTATTAAAGTAACTTGTTATTAATACATATTATTCTGTACAGATTTGGAAGTGAGAATGTCAGCATATATAATGCTGTACACTTATGTAAAAATGTGTGAAACATAAGAGTACAAGAAGTACACTGTAATGTAATACGGAAGCCAGGTAAGGCATAAAAATCACCTGTCCTCCAGTTGGTCCAGAGGCACACTGAGAAACTCTCATTAAATATTAACACTAATGACAAAGAGCCCTTAATTCCTTACAAGTGGTGTGTTTAACATGATACATTACAGACATGGTTTCAAAAATAAGCTCAGGGCTGATCTCATTGACTTTGTCCCTCGGGTGTCTTTATGAATACAAGTCTAAACACGATTTCCATCAAGTTGGATATTTTGGAAAAATAAAGCCTGACTCACCTTCTCCGCCAATGGGAGGTCAGGTTTCCATAAACTTTAAAGAGAGCTGCCGGTCCCCTGCAGGAGATCACCTGTGGAGATGAAAACATGGGGTCAGTCCTTCTAACGAAAGCTCACAGAAAACTAGAGTGCGACTAATTGCTCTTAATAAAAATAAAAATGGAAATCAGCTTAACCTGTGACAAAGAAGCTTAACTTCACTCTGTCAAAGACATTAAAAGATTTGCTTCCATTTTAACTATGACAAGAGAAGATTGTTGCGATAGTTACTTGGACCCTGACACTGAGGCAAGTGGAATAGCAAATCAAATCAACTTCCTCAGTTTTCATAAAGCTGCGCAGCAACGTACCCGCCTGTTTAGCATAATTGATTTCAGAAGGAGAATACTTTTTATTAAGATGGGATCTGTTTAAATATTGCGGCTTCATTGGGTTTTCAATGTTTCAGCTGTAGCAGACAACATGGGAAAACAAAAAGCTTTTTGCAGCAAGTTATTAATTAAACCATGGGAAAATCATTACCTTTCTTTTATACATTTTTATACAAAGTTTAATTTAAACTAAGGACATAAGTGTGGAGAGTATAATCCCGGGAGAAATAAAGTAATGAATGCCTCCAAAGTTTATAAGTACACATACGTGCACAAAAATTGCATATCCAGTGGCTTGCAAAAGCATTTATAATCGCTTGTTCAGACGTTAGAACAGCAAACTTTAATTTTGTTTTATTATGATTTTATGTGGGGAACAAACAAAAGTTTCAAGAGCCTTGGTTGTGATGATGGACATTTGTCTTTTTCAGAGAGACTCAATTTTAGCTTTTATTCAGGTGTCTCAGCTGATTTATCCACACTTTTCTTCCTTTATTTTACACAAATTGGTCAATTAAACACCTACAATGAATTATGTAAAAAGCCCAGAAATATAAAAAACTGTGTTTTTGATTCCAATGAAAAAATGCTGATACAATTTATATATGTAAAAGAGATTTTTTTCCAGGAGTTTTTCTTTGGCTGACAAACTACCTTTACCTATGTAACTTATGAATCTGCTCTCTATGTGTACAATTTCTTTGATTTTCATCAGATAAACATTCATAAATGTGTCAACAAACAACTGCATCGCTAAACAGAAAAATGAAATGAGGTAAAAAAGGATTTAAAAAAACACTCCATCTTCAATATACAAGGAGATAGAGCACTAATATAACAAATGGCATCATGGGAAGACAACATTATGTAAATGTTTTGAAGCATCAGCTAACTAGCATGTTAAAGTCAGGCGCAAATGTTTTTTTTTAATAGACAAGGAGTATGCAGATACCACAAAATTGCTGTGTTCCAAGTAATTCTCCTGGCTGTGCTTTAAAAAAAAATAATGAAGCCAGAATAGATGCCTCAGTTTATCAGAAGATAACCTCTCTTCTGTAATCTGGTTTCCACTAGAACATAATACGTCTGTATTACTGCACAGACTGTTTGTTGACCTGAGGACACAAATCTTACAAAAATGTCATGCAGTAAAGAAACAGCAAATTTAAGGTAACACTGAGGTGAACAACTGATATATCTAATAAGGCAGCAAGAAATATAACAGCTAAATATAATGCATCACTGAAGCCAAATCCAACAGATATCTGACTGGATTCATGCAAGATCACTGAGTCACTGCGTGCTGCTCATGTTTTTCCACTCTAGACAGAATCTATTTTTTTTCCCATTTGAGCCAAACCATGAAAACATTTTGCTTGCAGCTTCTCTCTTTTGTGAATGATTGTTTATTTGTGTCATAAAATGACTGGATAGACATTTAGAGCTTTGAATATGTTGGATGAAACATAACAAGAGTTCCAAAGACAGTATTTCTGTTTCAGAATGACTTGCAACAGCGATGAGGACTGATCAATTATTTATACATTTACTCAAGCTAATTTGTCCACATCTGCAAAATCCTCTCTGAATCCAAACATTTGTTTTCTGTTTTACTGTACTTAATTATGAATTACAATGGACATTGTAATGGACATTTGTGCAAATATTAGGAAGACAGTATATGAAAGCCTTAAATTGAGCCAATTTATTCTGGAAAAGAGCTTGATTTGGAAAAAGTAAGAGAAAGACTCTTCATGAATAGGCAAAATACTGGGAAAAAAAATCATATTTTAACTAGACTTTCAAAGGGTAACATTTTAAACACTGAGATTTCACCAGCTATGATGGTGTTGGTAATAAAAAACATCACAAACCCAGACTGTAATGAACTGCAGATGATATACTGACTACTTAAATTCGTTAAAAAGAGCATCTTCAAAGACATAGCGTTTCAAGAAGTAACAGTTCAAAGAGCTGCTCATAGAAAATATGAGATTTTCTGTCCTTCTGCATCGTGGACTGTATCCTGTGGGCTGAAGTGAAAAAAGAAAATCAACTAACTAATTCCTATTTTGACCTTCAAAAATCACATATTTTCGAAGGTCAAAATATATAATGAGATGGACTCAGGGATGCGGTGGGGATGGACAACTTGCTGTAGTTAATGATGGTAATTACCCGAGTTTTGAAAGAGATTTGCTGTGCCTTTCTATGGAATCTGTTTCTTGCCAGCTTTATACATCCGCAAATAAAAATTCTGCCTATTTTTCTTCACAATATCCCTGGATCAATCAGATTGAATGAGAAGCATATGTGAACATCAACTTTCAAATTTTGTTCTGGACTTTGACAAGGCCTTCTCAAAATGTGACTACCAGTATGTGTTTAATGTTACAAATATTAATCGAAATCTGATTTGAACCTCTATGTTTGGGATCACTGTTCTATAAAAACATTTAATGCGTCAGAGCACAGTGTTAGTTTCCACCCACGCATACTGTTTTGAATATTGGTCAATATGTTTGGTGCTATATTTCTATTAACAGTGGATTTCTGATCCCTGCTGATTTCTTAAGGTGAATTTGTGAAGTACATGATTGATAATTATCTTCCCACCTGAGAGATGGACCTCTGCAGCTCCTCCAGAGTTACAATGGGTATCATTGGCTGCTTCATTTAACACTCAAACGTGTTTCTGGCGGCTGCTTCATTCATGTGCACATGAACATCCACATGAAGATCAGCAACCCCGCTAACGGTAGTTTGTGGTTTAACCATTTGTACCAGTGTTGTAGCAGACTGTGGTGTTTCATGCCTCCACAGTGGGCACGACATGACTCCATTTTGAATTTCAGACAGGGGTATGACACATGCTGAGTCTGTGCTCTGCCTGAGGGTGAGCAGCAGCTACACAACACAAATTCAGAGCAGGAGTAAAGTGACATGTAGTAGTGACAAACGTAATACAAAGCAGGTTTATTATGTTGTAATAAATGAAGGGGATAGGAAAGATAACATACCACTGGAACTTGCCAAGTGTTTTCTTCTGATGTGTGTCTCAGCAGATATTGACCAGTCTGTACAACCCCTGAGGGACATGGTAGTCTATAAAAATTTCATAAAATAACTAGAATAGTAACTATGTTTAGTTTTTGTTTATATGCTTTAGTTCGAGGTAACATTCTTTTCCCGGAAAGACGTACAAAGCTTTGCTGCAGATGCTTCTGATCATCCGTAACATTATCAATCTTCTGCTGAGGTGGGAGTATATCCTCGTGTGTGTTCTGCTCTGTGCTGAGAGAAATGAGACACTCCGGCTGCCCTTCAGACTCGCCGCTCTTACACTGACTCTTTTTTCACAGCTTGTCAGAAGACACTATCTCCCCTTCGAACAGAGGAATGGAAACCTGAATTCTGCTTCACCGGCAAACGTATTATATGGAAGAGTTAACAAAACAGAAAAAAAGAAAAAGGAAACACACTTCCTCACACCACCATTTCACACATTCTCCCCTTCACCTGACAAGTGATGTTCTACAAACACAGAGGACTAACAATAACAAAAGAGGTCACCGGAAAACATTTGACTCCTCCTTTTTTGAGTTATATTATGAGAACCATAAGAACAGCTGCCATGTTCACATTTGGGTTCTTAAAAGGCATTCAGGTGGTTTTTCTAAGAATAGAATGATGATACAACAAACGTATCGTAACTGTATAAACACTAATAATTGGGTTCATAATTATGACTTATTCTGATTTAGCCAAAGCTGAATAGAGGCTCAGAAGACATTTGGTTAAAATGCCTTTTGCAAGTTGCAGCTGAATCATACCCTTTCAGTAACCAGCAACAAGCAAGATTAAGGTCTGATATTTCATCATTCTTCTTGATTAAATTGGTAACGTTCACTTAAATTGGTTGGTTTCCCAGCTGGATTTCCAAAACCTCTGAAACCATTTTTGATATGTGTTTAGTGTCACTTAAATTTGAGGTAAAGTTGAAAATTTTTGATTTTGTCCTGCTGAAATATTATTAAATCCATTTTGTGCACATCACCAGCCAGACGGATAACTACTGTTGATCTGATTCAGAGAAATTTAAATGAGTGTGTGCATCAAATACGATTGTATGTAATATTCCTTACAAATTCTTCAAAAAAAAATGTAATCACTTTAATCTACCTATTTAAATTTCAATAACCGCTTAGTTAGCATTATGATGCATAAATGGCTAAGTAAAAAAAAAAATTATAAAAATAATAAAACAATATAACTAAAGTTTAGAAATCTACAAAACTATCCTCCCTCCAGTCAGTTACCATAATCGCACCTTCAAACATAAACCAAACTAACAAGTCGCATTAAAAACACTCTGAAAACATCCATTGCGCCGTCTTAAAGGGAATACATTTTCACTTCCTGCTACCAGAAGCCCTTCCTGCTGGTTGATGTTGTTCATCACCCATTAAATGTTAAAGATCACTACAGATCAAGCTGCTGATTACATGAACACAAAACCGTCATCAAATCCAGACAACACACTTCCTGTGCATGCAGAGAGGTTGTCTCACCACTTCCACAGAGTAAACATTCAGGCACAAACACAGAGAGACACTATGTATTGTGTAGAAGTTATTATGCATATGGAAACTTTACAATCCAAAGATTAAAAGCATATCATCAAACTACATTTGAACCTTAATTTTTATAAATATTTTTTTTTTCTAAAAATAAAAAAAATCTAACTCTTATGAGAAGGAACTAACTAAAAAACAGAGTTTGTGTTCTTAAGACATAAAAAGGGCATTTTGTGCACAATCAGTATCTTTCTGCAGCCAAAAAGACATTTTCTCTCTCTCTCTCTCTCTCTCTCTCTCTCTCTCTCTCTCTCTCTCTCTCTCTCTATATATATATATATATATATATATATATATATATATATATATATATATATATATATATTATTTATTTTTTTTTTTTTAAGTTGCTCATTCATGTTTGGTCAATTTTAAGAGTCATTGTCAACAGTCTAAAGAGCCACATGTGGCATCAGGACTACGAGTTGCAAACAACAATTTTAGCCAGAAAAATAATTTAGATTTTGATGTGGCAAATGCGGCTTACAGGTCAGGGCAGAATAGCGCTCAGAACAATAGAAGTATGCTACAAAACCTTTCAAACACATTTTGTCTTTTTCATTGTGAAGTTTTCAATTGCTTGTTTGCTTATTTAGTAAGTGAACAAGCAAACAAGCAGCATGTACAAGCAGTATTGTAATCACCATGGTTTGCTAACAGTGCAGGTCTACTAGACAAGATGTCTGGCTTATTCTGATGGCTAATGATACCAAAGTTAGTATCTGATTCAATTCTTCACAATTCTCAATTCTTCTCACATTGAAGGTTTCTCAGACTATTTTTTTGTGGACAGCATTTCACTTTTTATGAATAACAATCTATTTGCCTGAGCAGCTTTATTCTATTCTGAATTAAGATTTTTTTTTTAAAAAAAACTTCATCATATTTGTAAAAACTAAAACCAGCGCATGTTCAAAGTCGTTTTGGACTACCGACTGTTTAAATTATGCCATGCGTATTGTACTGACAATGTGGTTTGTGCCACTTTACCTCTATTTGTAATAAGAATATGACCAACCTTTTGTTTTCTCCATAAGATTTCTGTAAATTACGCACATATTGTCTGTCTGAAAATTATTTCATGAAAGTTATGTTGATAAAACACAGTTTTAAAAAAAAAAAAAAAAAAATGGTAATTGCTAAGAGAACTTGAAAATATTCTGTATATGTCACATGAAAAGGGAAGGGAGGTCATAGGAACTCACCAGGACACCACTGAAACAAGACTCTTCAACAACCACTGAACAGCAATCACAACAATGGCAAAGGAAACTAAAACAATGACAACAAAAAGGAAGAAAGGGGATTATGAAATATAGAAATAAAAACATACAATTACCTAATGTGACGTCCTTCCAATTATAAACAGAGCCCTGACCTTTCTTCTCTGTTAAGAGCGAGGAGTCAACTAATAAATAGCAGGTACTCGTCAACTCTTTTCTCTACAGTACAATTGAATTACCACCCCTGAGCGTATCACCATCTTCTCTCTGCAGCTTCCTGAAAGGCTTTTGAGAGACATGCAAAGAGAGAGTTCAGCACCAAGGACAGATCCAAAACAAGCTAACTGACATCTGTACACTAACAATAGTGATAATTGAACTCAGATCACCCTAGAGCGACTCCGTCATTATCAAAAGTATTTTTAGCCCATCAAATTAAGTGTCCGGATGTTTTGTGAGATGAGAGCAGCTGCAGGATGTAAAGCGAAAGAATTATTAATTTTTTCCATCTCTACACCACAACACTACCCTGCCACCATGCTCAGTGGTTGGAACAGGTGACATTAACTATTACAAATATTTTTCATGTGATTAAGGCCAAGTCGCTCGATGTTTGTTTTCTCCAGGTAAGAGCGGCTTCAGCACCACAGACAGCTCTAAAATAAGCTTGCTGAGATTTTTTGACTAATTACTAAAGTTGGGGACAAACAAAACGACACACAGTTTTGAGGCAGCTCTGAAATCATTGGGGTGAGGTGAACTGATAATCAACACTTGTTGCTGACAGCTAATGACAAAAAGAGGTAAGGATACTTCATCTGCTGCTCACAAAAATGTTTTACTTTATTTGTTAACTACACTTTCATGATTGTTTAACAAACACATCCTGTTCCTCGCTTCAGCGAAGCATTCCGTGACATAGAGGGGCATTTATGGTTGGGTCAGGACGTGGATGACTTGGAAGAAGATGGAAGCTGCATGGTCTGATTGCTGATTTGATCTTAAATAGAAAAGTGCAGATCTTTATGATCCAGTTTATTTTGACTAATCACCAAAGTTAATACTATATTCTTAAGCAACACTAAGTTCTCCAAGGAGGTTAAGTTGCTCAAGGGTTAGTCGTTAGTCGTTTCCAACAAAAAGCAGTTTCAGCACCATGAAGAGCTCCAAAATCAAGCAAAATGACATCTGCTACTTCACCGCTGCCATCACATATATGGAGATCTACAATCAACAAGCGTTGCTGCATGTCTTTTGGCAGCACAAGATGTTTTGGAACGAAAGCAGCTGCTTGGTTGGAGGGGGATGTTACAACCCAATGCAGCAAGCAGCACTTTAAACAACCTCCCTCCCTGAAACGCATCATCCTCCTCCTCGTCATCATCACCCCCACCACCACCACCACCATCATCATAGATTAGGGATGCCAAACACCTGAAGGTAGCTACCAGATACTTCAGTCAGTTGGGAGGCCAGATGCGTTTCAGCCTCAGAGCAGATTTGATGAATGATTAAAGGGACCACATGCAACTAATCCCATGTAGAAAGCGGGATGCTCCTCCTCTGTGGCACCGTTGGTTTGTCGGAGGGAAAACAATGACGCGAGAGATGGCTCTTTGCTTTTGCTGTGACAACCAATTACATAACTGGAGCTCAGTGGAGTGCTCCCATTAACATTCGCGTCCATTTCCCTCAAGAAAGACTCAAACACATCACTGCATGACCACTAAAAAACGCATCTGCATCCATTAGCCCCATCTGATCCTTTAAACTGCATAAAATGTTACGTTTTCAGACTGATCCAAGTTTATATTCGTGATCAGATGTAGTCATTTCACGCATGGAAATAAACCCTCTCCTACATCGCCATCGCCTAAATATGAAACAGTATGAAATGAATTCTGATCAGCATTTCTCTGCTTAGAAAGCGGGTTTGTTTTATATGTGTGGTCTAATTTGTGCAATCCAGATATTACTCTAAACGGAAAACAGCAATGCATAATTTCACGATCTGGTCTGAAAACAGGACATCGGGGAGAGTAAACCAGCGTTAGACGAGTCAACAAAGCGTACAACATTAATTCAAGGTGAGGCGAGATGGACCATCTTCCCCCATGGCGTAAGCAAACAACGGTACATCATGTAATATGACGCATGAATAATTACAAACTGCAAAAGGCAAACAGAATCTCCTCTGAATTCTGTTGTACTCCGTCAGGTTTTGCTGCATTAGAAGCGGCGGTGAGACGTTAAGTCAGCATGATGGAGAGTGATGCAGATCTCTCCATCTCGCCCTTCGCTGAAAGGATGCTCTGCTTCTTATCCCTCTATTGCACGGACGTGGCGGCCAGTAAAAACACTTACCAGAGATGCTGCTTCTGTTCCTGCCCCGTAGTGTCTGCTGCGAATCGGACCGTATTTTCCCCTTGCAGTACAACAGAAGGTGACCCTGCGTTCTCTCTGCAAGACTCTGCATCCACGAGATCACGATGCACGCAGCAAGGGGGAGCTCCACGGCACAGGCGGGCGCTGGGGGGATGGCCCAGCTTTTACTCTCAATGGACAGCAGAGATAGTCTGCAGGGGGGCCAAGGTTGGGATCGAGTGTGCCAAGTGATTTCTAAAATCTCATCTTAGCGTATTAACATATGGAAAGTAACACAAAATATAATTATTAAGCAATTGTCAATTTTGTATTTTTTTTTCTTGATATATATTTTTTATTATTATTGTTATTGATGAATACTCTGTCATTTAACAGGAAATACAAATTTTTATTTATGAAATAAAATAATTCGGAAGGAATGGACGAGGAGAGCGTTAAATGTGACTTCCACTTTCCAGCCAATGGAATGATCACGTTGAGAGGAGGTGTCCCCCTCCCCTTTGCAGTGTAGGCCACGCCCACATTTCACTATGCCCGAAAGGAGGAGGGAAGGTGGGAAAGGAGTGTTTTTGTTCTGCGGATGGCTACTGACTCATCCACTCAAGAACAAAAGAACGTTTTGCTCACCTGTTGAGCGTTTCATTTGCTCATTTGCAGTGCCTCACAAAAGTGATGGGGCTTCTTGAACCTTTTCACTTTTTGCCTTACCCTAGTCACAGAGGTCAGCATGTTTAATTAGAATTTTATATGATTGATAAACAGTTTAGAGGATGACGATAGGGGTGTTCCAAATTATTTGACAAATGAAAAGTTGAATCTGAGTCAATATTTTGTGGTTCCACACAGCTCCAAGGATTTCCTGCATTAATTATGCCAGCTTGCAAATCTACAAACTTTTGTCCATTCTTCTTTTCAGCAGTCAGATTGGATGTTAGTCTTTAAGTCATCCAATAAGACCAACTTTATCTATTAGATCAGATTGATTCATTTAACATCATTGTTCTGCTGAAGATGAACTGTTGCCACAGTTTTAAGCATTTCACAGCATCTAATGCATTATCTTCAACAATTGTCACGTATTTACCTTCATACATTTTTTTTTTTTGTCGGTTCTGGTACCTACCTCCAGCCATCTTTGAGTGGGAGGCAGGGTACATCATGAACAGGTCGCCAATTCATCACAGGCCAGCATAGAGACACAGGACAAATAATTATGCCCACACACTCACACCAAAAGGCAGTGTAGAAAGACCAGTTAATCTGATGGTCATATGTTTGGACTGAAGGAGGAAGCCATGATTTACAAATATTCAGGGAGAACATGCAAACAAGAAGATCACAGGACCTTCTCGCTATAAGACGATAGTGCTCCACTCTTCCAAAAAGACCAAATCTGTGGAGTTTGACTATAACAGGTAAACCCCTAATTGAATATTCTATTTACTCTATTCTCTAAAAAAAATAGATTGTACAATGTTAGGCAACCTCCACACTTGGATGTACTGAGCCTCTTTCATTGTTTTGTCTGAGGTGCAGCTTCCACTGAAATAAGGCATCCTGTCAAAGCCATTCAGCATCAAACGGGATGAACAGAGGGGGCTGCTTTCTTCTGCAGACTGGAGGCCATTGCAGACCTTAAACCAGATCAATAAGATGATGCTTTTTTCTTATGCAGATTGGCTCAAGTGCAAATAAACTGCCACCAGTAAAAATTGTTTATTTTATCGCTTGGGTTATGATCTGAAAAAACAAAGTCTATGTAGTTTATCACTCATTCACGTACAATAAACACAATCTCAGGTGAATGAAAAAATGTAAGCAATATTACATGTCACTACTGCATGAAAACCCCACTATTATGGATTACACGTCATTCATACGAGAAAACTAAAGTAGTTTCAACATATTTCCTATAACACATATTTGATAATTTCCTCAAGTTTAGTGACATCTAGTGGCCAATTATAAACGGTGCAAAAACAAAAACAGGCTGGAGAACTATCAAGACTTCTTCAAATGATTACAGAAAGTCTAACATGTTGGATGCATCAAATAAAGAAATGAAATGTTTTTGTCCTCTCACTCCATCTTCTTCTTAAACTTCTTAATAATCTGTCAAATTAAAATTTCTTGTTTAAATGTAAAAGACAAAAAATAGTCTTCATATTAAATACTGGATAGTACTCTTGTATTTTCTGATGGTTGAACCGGCAAAGAGACCTTTTAACAGTAGTGGAAACACAAGCGTGATTTTCACAGATTCCTTTGCCTGCAAGATTTTGTTGAAAAAGGGAACAGCTGTAACAAACCTGTTTGCTATCTCAGACATGCATCTGTTTGGTTTAGACTTTTCTAACAAGTCATAGCAACATGATTTGCTCTCTGTTCTGCTTTATTCTTTGAAAGTAGTGCTGCCAAAAGAGCAACCAACAATGCAGATCACTTTGAAATGACCAGATGTGGTATAACTTTTGTTTGTTTGACTTTTTATTTTGTAGGTTCATGTTGACAAGTAACCATCAGATAGCTGTGCCTTCATAAAGCTGTTGAAACAATCTTGGAATCTCTCTTCATTAGAACTAACAACTGAAAGCCCAAACAAGGTATTTTATCTGCATGACTTTAAACCTGTCAACACAACCTTTTTCTAGACAAAACAATTATGAGATTAATGTTTTACACAATTTCACTGACCCTTGTGGTTTACTTATCTGAGAAAGTTAAGTATGACTATAAAAGTGGAAGTTATAAAGTTATACTTGATCTGAACCAGGACAGTTTGACCATTAAACAATGTAGATGAGGAGCTCCAGGCTGTTGGTTTGCACTTTTTGCTCTCTCATCTTATTTATTTATTTTCTTCTTTTTTTTCGGATTGGTGTGGGGAAAACATTTTGAGAGTCATTGGGGGAAAAAATCCAAAAAGATCTGGGGAGAAAATCTGTTGGAGGCTGCAAAAGACTTAAGATTGGGGAGAAAATCACATTCGACCGGACAGTCAGTCTTTTATTTTGAAGGGTTCAAACCGGAAGCTCGTGCACTGTCGTCACTGGTAGTGAAAGGTCGTCTGAAGCTGGTCAACGTCAATTCTTACAGGAAAGAAGGCTTTTTATTCTGCAGGGTGAGTAAGAATTGACCTAAAATGAGTAGCACACGTTAGAGCAGGCCGCGTATTTAGTCTTACTGACCGAGTAAGTTATATTTATCGCAGTGTAAGCACCTTTTTGTTTTGCGCAATGCTGCAGGAAACTCACCGTCAAGTTACAGCAGCTAAACAGAAATGATTTGTAGCATTGAAGATGATTTTATTATAGCAGTCAGGTGAGGCGTAAAGGTAACATTTTACTTATAGGTAAGGAATGCATTGGTTTAGATGACGTGCCTTTTTTAAGCTAGTTGTGGCAAATCAGTAAAATGCGGCTTGCTAACATTGGCCGTTTAAATCTTTAGTCATTTAATCATTAGTTCAGGAGTCATCTTACTCCTAAATTTTCCTGTTTCTATTCCTTTTACTCTTTCTTTGCCAGACAGGCAGCTGTGTACAAACCATTTCTATTTTGTGCTTCCGTAGATTGCTCGCTGATTAGGGAGGGCAGTGATACCATGTGGAAGTCACATGAACGACGAGGATGAGGCATAAACAAGGGGGCAGCCTGACGACAGAGCCGCTGCAACACAGTGTCAGCCAACAGGAAGGGGAGGAGGAAGAGGAGGCGGGACTGGTGCCTGTACAAAGATCCCCCACACAAGCAGGCCCCCTGTGGCCCTTTCCCCCTTGAACCTTAATTAGGATGAACAGCACTACCACTCAGCCCCCTGCCCACAAAGATGGGGGTGTGGTGGTGAGCTATGTGCTGGTGCCATTCCTCCTTATAACCATTGCTGGAATTGCTACAGTTTTGGTAAGTAGCTCATCAGAATGTGGGACATTAGAGACTTAGAAAGATGCAGCGCTCACGCACTTTTTATTTTGTTTGTTCTAGATTATATGTCTGCGTAGAAAAAGGAGGTGAGTACAAACTTAGGGTATTGATTAGCTGGCACTCCCTCTTACTTCCTCAGTCTGACCCATTGATTTCTTAATGGGCTTTATCTTCTGCCTTAGGATCGACAGACTTCGGCATCAACTGTTACCTGTTTACACGTATGACCCTGCAGAGGAGCTTCATGAAGTTGAACAGGAGCTTTTGTGGAGAGAAGAGGACACAAGGGTAGGACACGCAAACTCTCAGCGACAGTGTCCTTTGTAAATCAAAGGACAGGTGTTTACTATTATATCGGATGAGGAACATCTTTAGTTGGAGTCCTGTAAATCCAGAGTGAAAACATTTTTCTCAGTAAAACCATCATTTTTCACTCTGTATTTGCAGAGTGTGTCTTTGACAGTGTAAACACATACCCACTGTTATTCTGCAACATTTAGCTTTAGACTTCTGTAGTTCCTCAAATTGCATGCATCTTCCCCTTTTACAAATTTAAATCTAAATGCAACAAACAACAGCGGGTGGTATTGTTTCATCACAGATTTTATTTCAGGTTTAAACTATCTCTTTATCCCTGCCCACATTAATAGCCTTTGACTTGTTTTGGAGACAATTCAGTTCATCATCCGTGGACATGTTGTTTTTACAGCGTCTCAACAAGAACAGTAAAGGTATAAAATTTACTTTTGGCAGTTTCTAGTTTGAGGACAAGTGTAGAAAAACTTTGGATTTCCTGAATTCAAGTTGTGTTTTACTTATAAGACCATAAATTTAATTCAGAGTATCTTTGTGTGATCTAAACAGGGTTACAGTTGGCCTTGAGTTTAAAGTGTTATTCTTAAGTGTCTAATACTGATACCGGGGGTTGTACTTCAGTTGATGGAAAATAGTTTTATTTGCACTATCTTGTTTTTACTTGATCCTTGAAACATACAGATAGAGTATAAACCATGTACAAAAAGTTAATAATTTTTTTTTATCAAGTATGAGTCATACAAAACCTAAGATTTCATCTTCTCTATGCTTGCCAGACTTTTGAAGGCGTTAAAAACATTAACTTGAGGAAGAGAGTCAAATAAATGACATCTGTGTGCAAAATACTATTCCTATAAATTTTAATAACTAGATAGAAAAGTGATACTAATTATCAAAATTTTAGGTATTTGATAATAGGTTCTAACGTTTGTATTCAGATCTAAGTCTATGGTTAATAATTGGTCACCAAGTGTCATAAATATTTGCATTCTTAGGATTTATGTAGCTTCTGGAACTATGTATCTGTCCTGTGCAAAATATTTTCTAAATCATTTTTCATGTGCTTCTTTCAATCCTGTATTATCCTTTTAGATTTCATATTTGCTATTCTGTGATAATTCACTACTTCTTCTGTGATGCACAGTCAAGTTGGAACTCTACATGGATTTAGGAGTTATGCCAAAACTGATCTATAATAGCCTAGATCATTGAGTTGATTTTCAAAATATAGTTGTTCTAAAAATTTCTTGAGAAACACAAAAATAGTAATTGATTTACACAGCATTACTTTTCCTCATGTAAATTTTACTCATCTCATAGCCTTAAGTCAATAGATTTAAGAAAAAATTGTAGTATCAGCTTCACTGCTACCACTGCTGCACAGGGTTGAGTTGAGCACTAGATGGTGATAGAGAGCTACTCTTTAAGACATTGCAATATTGCATTGCTTTCAGTTTCTCATGTAAGACATCAAGTGCTGAGACATAAAACTGCTCAGTATTGACATTTTATGTTGTAGAGGCTGTTTATTCTAAATTTGTTGATGTCCAGTATGTGTTTAACAAAAGTCGAAATCTGCAGCATGGTCAAAAACTTCTTGGAGGTCGGAGGAGGTTTGCATATCCTCACTGGAAACCTGTGACTTAGTTAATCTGTTCTGCTGTGTTTCATGTGCACAGATTGTGCAAGGCTGGGCAAGAAGCTATCAACAGCAGCAACCTCTTCTGTCCAAAGATGTGACTGCTTGATGACAGCTCAGCCTGGCGCAGGATGCTGAGGAGCGAGAAGACAACCTTCCGACTCAAAGATTCGCCCTTCTTTTAACTCATCTGTCACATTGCTCTATTTTGCTTCTGTTGTCTTTATCCCAGATTGCATAAGTGATTTAAGAGCCAAAGTGATGAAGTACTTGTTACTTATTTATTGGAAATTATTTATTCAAATACATTTTTATTGTTGTGCTCTGTGGCACCAAATTCTGGGAAAGCAGAAGACAAAGCCTCTTGTGAATTCGGTGTTTTGTTTACATTCTTATTGCTGTTGTGGGCAGCTTGTGGCAAGCAGCCTTGTTCCTGTGGGTTGCAGTAGGCATCCGTACCGCTCGCATAACTTGCTGCCTGTGTTCACTGTGGTAGGGCTGCGAATGTTATGTACTAGTTAAACATCAGCGCTCAGATCTGGCTTGGGCAGAGGTTGTTTGCAGAGCAATAGCGGCTTCTTTGATGAAACGCCTTTACAATTACAAAGGCAAAGACCCATATTGATCAGGTGAAAATTGGTAAAGAAAGCTCGTTTTTAATGTCTGTTTCTAGCCAAAGGCTTAAACATCCTCCTTCTGTTTTGTTGCTTTGAGTCGCTGCTTTGGAAAGCTTTATTTTATTTTGTCCTGCTTTGCCAAATTCTGTGACTCTTAACAATGGCATGAGATGCAAAAATCAGGAGCGAATAACACCAACTTCCTCCCAGCTCTTAAATGAGTTGTGACTGGATCTGAAAATATGCCCTGTCTTCGAGGCATGGCACCAGAAAATTTACATCTGGCTGAAAAATCTGCTCAGATGAATTCCATACATCTGACTGTTTCCAGCACTCAGGAAACCTTTTACACATTATAAACTTTTGCCTTTCATTTGTTGAATGTAAACTTAACTGTGGGTCTGTCTGTGTTTATGGAAGGCTTCACAGTTCTGGTATTTTGAGCCTTTACATATAAATTTTTATGCTTGTCAGGTTTCTCTTTTTAATCATAAGAGAAACCTTAATGCACCACTCAAAGATCTCCATATATCTTATCTGGAATGACTTGTGTTTAAGAATCCCAACTTTAGGTGACACTTTTATCTATGTACAATTGCTGTGATGTTGAGATTGTTTTCTTCTCCTTGAATGCAGTTCTAGACAATTTTTGAAAATGTCAGTAATTCTAATAAAGTGAAACTGATATTACAGGTTAGTATATAAAGCTTTTTATTTTTACAATGACTGTGGAAAACCCACAATTTAGTGTCTCATAAAATGTTACATGGGTCTAGGTCATGCGATCAAATAAGATTATGAAGCAGATTGTGAGAATGCATACCTCCGACACATTTGTTCAAGTGCATGAGATATGCAACTGCAGGGATAAAATGATTACTGATTTTAATGGCCATGGTAATGTTACTGAAAATCAGCACTGCAGCCACATGCAGTTACAGTACTTTCAAAACATTAGTCTTGCAGTTCCTACCACAAGACCGTAAACGGAAGACAAGGGCTAGACCTTTAGACCAACTGCAAAAGGCTCTTTTGAAGAGGAGACTGTTAAACAGGATGAGTGCACTATAATCAAAATAATATGGAAAGTTAAGTAGAAGTAAAAACTGGAGTTTTCCTTATGTGCAAACTATATTCCTGAAAGTAAACAGAGCTACCTATACCACCAACTAAGGAATCTGTATAATTTCAAATTTTAAATAATTTATGATTTAATTTAAAATTGCTTAGACTATGCTGTTGCTTCTTAAAATATTGTAAATTTTTTTCACAAGTTCAAATTAGGGGGCATTAGTACAATAAACATGACACAAATGACAAAGAAAGTTCTCTTTATTGTCCATTTCTGATACAAATTGTAGGGCACCATAGAAATATAGACATTGTACATTTATATAGGTGTACATTAAAAAGCATGATCCCATTCTATTGAGTTTACAGTATATAAATCAACAAATGCATGATTTAAAGAGAAATGTCTAGATACAGTTGTGTAGTTGGAAGGGGACAAAGACAAGAGACTGTACGACTTTAATGAAAACGATAAGAGCATCTCTGTGCGTTAATGCAGAATGCACAGAGCCTGACTGAACAGTGAAGAGTGCCTAGTCTACACAAACTCGCATTTGTCCATGAAAATCCAACATCTCAGTGCAGAAGAAAAAATAAAAAAAATAAAAACACACCTGCTAGTCTACCACAGTCAGCGAACACAATTGTTGAGCTGACAGGTCTCCCTGACTTGCTTCACACATTTAAAAACCTGTCTGCAAAGTCTGGCGCACAATTACATTTTATACCAAGTCAACATGATCAAAAAGATGAAAAAAAGAAAAACTTAACTCTTGTCAGAGATTACATTAAAAATAGAAAAACCAGTTGAATGCAATCATAAGGTGAAGTAAGCTGTTAAATTGAGGTATGAGAAACCAGGCTTTGTCTTGCCTGTTTGCAGTTTTCCGGGGTTTTGTAACTGAGGTTGTAGCAGCTTAGGTGTGTGTGGGGGGGAAAAAACCCAGTTAAATGTACTATGGATACAGGTTCCCTGACAATAAAAAATAAAATGTAGTAGACACAAACAACACACATCTTCAGAAGATTAAGGAAAGTAGGGTTACTGTTACGTTACTAAGTGAGGAAGAAGCTAGATTAAGCAGTGATGGCTAAATGGAATGGGAAATAAAAAATGTACAGCCCTGTTGGATAGTAGTGCCACCAACTATCCACTATTACAATCATACTCCTTGTTTGACCAATTGCAGTGACTGAGTGAGCAAATGAGGGAAAAAGAGATGGGGGGGTAGAGGGGGATAAACAAAAAAAGTAACCGCATTTGTAAAAGCTCCCTGAAGAAACGACAGATTACTTTTCAACCTAAAACTCTTTCTAAAAATATACCAAAAAGAATTGTTATAAAACACAAAAAGCAGCACACTCATGGTTTTTCTTAAATGGTATATAACCCAAACTGCAAGTCTGATCAGAGTATTTTGATGAAGAAAATAAAACAAAAAAAAACCCATCAAACTTACTTTACATCTCCCCACTACATGCAAAAAGGACTGAGAATGTTTTAAGCGCCTCTAAAATCTACACTGCTCTACAGGAAAAAGCGGTCAGGTGGAAGATGCCCAGATCTGTCCAGAGTTTGGGAAGAAAAAAAAAAAAGAATATACTCGACACGAAACGGACACCTCTACCATCAGTAACCTATGCTCATCCTAAATGCTGAAGCTCTTCTCCATCTAGAATACAATGCAAAGGATAGGTTAACCACTTCACTCACATGTAACAAAACTAAACAGCAAATGGGTAAAAAAATTACCTTTGTCCAATACAAAAACAAGAAAGTCTATATGTTCCACTATCGCAGATGCAATAAATGACACTAAGCAGAGGAAACATGTCCTAACGGTCTTTAGGGGAGACTAACAAACACCCAGGCTCTTCAGAGCACACCTTGTCCAGTATAAAAGACTTGTGATAACATGACAGGTAGAAGGGTTGTTACCTGTCATGTAATGCTTTAGATTTATGCTTGATCAAGTCCATTTTGTTTAAATCCAGTGCTGCTGCATGATATATGTACTGTGTTAACCCCGCCCTTTGACAAAGGGGAGGGCTTTGTCGTGAACAGTGGTCAAGTGGTGGCACTGGTGTTGATACAGCCCAGTTTCTGGATAACAGTAAGTCAGTATGTAGAGTGAGGTAGCATGTATTGAATTACTGGTCATCTTCCTCCTCCTCTTCCTCAGATGATTCTTGGGATGCCTTTTCCTCCTTCTCCTGTGACAGAAAAAGTAAAGTCAGACTTTCTGCATGCGGCCACAACATACAGAGACAAAAAAAAAAAAAAAACGTTTGAAGTGGTATAAACAATCGCTGCTTGTGATTCATACCTCAATGTGACCGTTTTGTGTCAAGTGCCAACTTGAGTAAAAGAAATTAAATAAGTGTTCTTTGACAAAACCTCTGTGGCATGAAAAAGCACCCAAGGGAAGGGTGAAGCATCTGGAGAGAAAAGTGATTCATCACTGGTGAGTCATAATGAACCATCCTGTTTTTTTTTTCCTTTCACTCACTTACTCCAAGTTGTTCATTCATAAAAGAAAAAAAAAACGGGTGGACTATGTTAAGGAGGGTCACTCCTCACTGTGACTAATGCAATCCAGATGCCTCCTGGACTTCATCCAAACAAGTGATGCACATCACAATGTCACTACGAAACCTCAAATTCTTGCCTAAGGCTGCAAATACTGTGAAAAGAATCTCTACATGTTAGCACAATCAGGTGGAGACTTGCAATAAAGAAATGGCTGGTCTGTATGAGTGAATCCCCAATTCACTTGGCTTCTTAAAAAGGAATGTCACTCACCAGACAGTCATACGAATCACTCACACTGGGACAGAAAAGGTTTAGGGTTCCTCTTGTGTTAATGTTGATTCTAGCTGGTCAATTTCAACTGCTGCCAATTTGCACCTACTTTCCTACTTTTGTTTTATTCATGTAAAACCATTTAATACTCATATGTTTGTTCTTGATTGTAGTTAAATGTTAGAAATACTAAAGTTGAAATCTGTTTAGTCCAATCTTAAAGGGACAGTATTATTACAATAACCGTTACCTTCAGTTGTTATAAAAATCCCATTTATATCAAATATGACTTAAAGAAATTTTACCTTGAAATTTAACACTTTTTCCAAATTTCTGCTTTTTCCAACAATCCGTCTTCAAGAAGTCATCACAACAGCGCTGCTCTATCAACCTTTTAACAAAGTATTTAACCGGTGTTGTACTGAAAAGTAGCTCCTAAAGTGAGCAGATGCACAGTTCCACCAGGTGATTGCTAATTGCTGCTGGCTAGTTTGAAGGAGTTGAGTTGGGGAGTGACAAGGGAAGAATGCTCTGACACAGAAGCTCAGAAACTCCAGCTCTGAGGAGGAGTTGTGCCATTGAAAGCGGTGCTTGGTTGCCACAGGAGATTAAAGAATTTCTTAAACTTATACGAAAGTGTCAAGGCAACACTCCACGTATGTTTGTGATGAGAGACCAAAATAAAATTAAATAAAATAAAGTTGATTTTGCGCAAGTCTGCCCCTTTAATAAATGTCACTTTGAAACAATCATTACTCTCTAGTCTCAGTTATTTTGCTTTGGATCCCTGTTCGGGGCAACCGAGTAGCAATAACAGATCTGAACCCTTGAGCAAACCAAAATATTTAAACAGGAAAATATTTATTGGGAGTCATAAACTCAGATTTGAGCAGCAAACTTGCCTCCTTCTTGGGTCGTCCCCGGCGTTTTCCTCCTGCAGGTGAGGCTCCTGCACCTTTCTGTGAAAGAAAACCGCAAAAGGCCACCAAATCTGTTACAAGGTTCTCATCATTAAGTTGTAATCTCAGCGAGTTGTAGAGTTGCAGGCTTGAGCACAAAACAAATTTGTTACATCGCCTCTAGGTGGCAGTGGAAGCACTACAACTGGACAGATAGAAAGGGGGCATCGGGTTCATTGGCTATTATCTGGAAGACCGACGGGAACTGCACACAGGGCACTCCAGTTCGCTGGCCACCTGGTCCAAGGCGCAGAGACAGCTGGTGAAACCGAGCAGAGACACAAACCGTTGCTCCTAAACCTATATCAGTGCACACGCATGTGCGCCGTCTCCTGAACGCCCTCCATTCCTCTCTTTCCCATAGATAGCAGCAAGCGAGAGCACACAGGGGAGCTGGAAGGGTTGGGGCGAAGGAAGAGGGGGGAAAAATAAATAAATAAAAAAAATTGTTGTTGCTATGGAGACGACGAGCAGTGAAGAACTGGGGCTGTGTGCCTGCTGGAGGCAGAGGGGGCGCTCAGTGTCAGCCTGGAAACAGTCTTGCGGCCGCTGCACCTGCACTGCACAGTGCATGTGACAAGCTGCAGGAAGCTGGAGGACAGGATGCACCGAGTGAGCATCATCACCCCCGCCCTCTCCTCCGCCATCTTCCACACAGCCATAGCCCCCCCCGCCCCCCACCTACCAACCCAAGGGTAAAGCAGCAAACCAAGATTCTTTACAGTGGGAAGCAGTTGCCATGCTATTTCTGGCACCATTAGGTGGTAGCCAAAAAAAAAAAAAAAAATCAAAATCAACATCCTGACATCCTTTAGACGGATGAGGTTAGCTGCTGCTACAAGCACTCCTTAACCAAA